CCCGCCCCAGCCCCGCCCAGACAAATTCCCCGACAGCCTGGAGCCACCAGGGGGCGGTAAGTGCTGGGGGTGGGGCCAGAGCGGGAAACCACGCCCCTTTATGCTAATGAATCAACGCATGTGGCTAAAACAGGGAGAAACCATGCCCCTTTATGCTAATGAACCAATGCATGTGGATTTAACTCAAACAAACCACGCCCCTTTATGCTAATGATCTCACATGTTGATATAATAGGAACAAACCACGCCCCTTTATGCTAATGAACCCACACATGGGTGTGACCATGACAAGCCACACCCCCTTAGGCTAATTAAACCCATGGGTGTGGCCTGAACAGACCACGCCCCTTTATGTTAATTAAACCCATGGGTGTGACCTGAACAGACCATGCCTTTTTATGCTAATTAAACCCACACATGTGGATGGGACAGACCACACCCCTTTATGCTAATGAGGCAGCTATAAAGGTGCTGCATGTTTGTGGCCAGGTGATGTAGACCACGCCCCTTTATGCTAATGAGCTATTGAGGGGTGTGACTTTGTTGTGGGCGTGGCCAACCCCAAAGGGGCGGGGCTTAATGTGATAAATGGGGTTTCAATGAAAAAATTGGGGGGGGCTGAAAAGGGGGCGTGGCCTGTCCTAAAGGTGTGTGGCCAACCAAGGGGCGGGGCTTGTGCTCTGCCCCCCCCCCCCCATGATTGACAGATGGGATTTGGGGGCATCTGGGGCCCATTTTTGGGGCCCTTTTCTCCATTTTGGGGTGGTTTTGCCCCTTTTTTGGAGTCTTTAACACATTTTTGGGCTGTTTTCCCCATTTTTGGGGTATCAGGTTGATTTTTTGGGTGTCTTTCCACCACTTTTGAGGTTCCAGACTCATTTTTCACCCTCCCCGCCCCATTTTTTGCCCTTTTCCCTCCCCGTTTTCCCCCTCCCCGCTGGATTCCCGTGGGTTTTTCCCAATTCCTGCTGGTTTTGCCCCATTCCAGCCCCGTCCCTGACCAACGAGGCGCTGCTGTTCCACGAGAAGTGCGGGGCCCTCATCAAACTCAGCAACGGCCACAAAACGGCCGAGAGGCGGCGGCCGCTGGACGAGTTCAACAACGGCGTGGTGCTGACCAACCGGCCCCTCAGGGACGGGGAGATGTTCGAGGTGGGAGTTCTGGGGTTTTGGGGGATTTTTGGGAATTTTTTGGTAATTTTTTGGGAATTTTTCTGGATTTTTTCTGGGATTTTTTTGATTTTTTTTTATTTTTCTGGGATTTTTTGGGTGGGATTTTGGGATGTGGCGGTCGCTGGACGAGTTCAACAACGGCGTGGTGCTGAGCACCAGAGCCCTGAGGATTGGAGAGATGTTTGAGGTGGGAATTCTGGGATTTTGGGGAATTTTTGGGGATTTTTTGGTAATTCTTTGGTAATTTTTTGGGATTTTTTTGGAATTTTTTGGAGGTTTTTTGAGGGTTTTTTTGAATTTTTTTTTGATTTTTGGGTGGGATTTTGGGCCATGGCGGTCACTGGATGAGTTCAACAACGGCGTGGTGCTGAGCACCAGAGCCCTGAGGGATGGGGAGATATTCCAGGTAGGAATTTGAGAATTTTGGGAATTTTTGAGAATTTTTTGGGATATTTTGGGGGCTTTTTTTGGGTTTTATGGAATTTTTTGGATTTTTTGGGGGGAATTTTTAGGGTTTTTTAGGCTATTTTGGGGGGTTTTTTAGGGTTTTTTGGGTTTTTTTAGGGTGTTTTTTGGGGTTGTTTTGGGTTTTTTTGAGTTTTTTCTTATTTGGTTTTTTGTGGGGTTTTTTTGGTTTCTTGAGGCCCTTTTTTGATGGTTTTTTGTGGGGTTTTTTTGGTTTCTTGAGGCCCTTTTTTGAGGGGTTTTTTGGTTGTTTTGGGGTTTGTTTTGGTTTTTATTATTTGTTTTTTTGTGGGTTTTTTTGAGAGCTTCTTTTTGTTATTTTGGGTTTTTTTTGAGTTATTTTTATTTTGTTTTTCGTGGGTTTTTTGTGGGGTTTTGTTTGGAGTTCTTTGGGATTTTTTTGGGGATTCTTTGAGAGATTTTTTTTTGTTATTTTGGGGTTTTTTTAGGGTTTTTTTGGGGGGTTTTGTTGGGTTTTTTGGGGAATTTTTTTGTTTTTTTGTGGGATTTTTGGTGGGATGTTTTATTTGTGTTTTTGTGGATTTTTTTGGGGTGTTTTTTGGGGTTTTTTGGGGTGTCCTGACCCCCCTCCTGACCCCCCCAGATCCGCATTGACAAACTGGTGGACAAATGGTCGGGATCCATCGAGATCGGGGTCACCGCCCACAACCCCAACAGCCTCGAGTACCCGGCCACCATGACCAACCTGCGCTCAGGTGAGCCCCAAAACACCGGGAAAACACCCCAAAACACCGGGAAAACACCCCAAAACACCGGGAAAACACCCCAAAACAACGGGGAAAACAGCCAAAAACCGCGGGAAAAACACCCCAAAAACCGCGGGGAAAACAGCCAAAAACTGCGGGAAAAACAGCCAAAAACTGCGGGAAAAACAGCCAAAAACGGCGGGGAAAACACCCAAAAACAACGGGAAAAAACACCCCAAAACCGCGGGGAAAACAGCCAAAAACCGCGGGAAAAACAGCCAAAAACACCGGGGAAAAACAGCCAAAAACCGCAGGGAAAACACCCAAAAACAACGGGAAAAACACCCCAAAAACTGCGGGAAAAACACCCAAAAACCACGGGGAAAACACCCAAAAACAACGGGGAAAAACACCCCAAAACTGCGGGAAAAACACCCAAAAACCGCGGGGAAAACACCCAAAAACA